AACTAATTGAGATAATAATTCAGGCTATTATTCATACACAGTATGCTGGTGTTTGTAACTGAGTGATTACAAAAATATTTTTTATTATTATTATAATAACTTAGATATGAATAAATAAAATACATAGTAGGTTTAAAAAAGTCAGATGAAGTAAAATAATTAAACTAAAAACTAAAACCAGCAGGCAGCGAGTATGCATTGCAAACATACAGAGAATAATAAACTGTGACCTGTTTGTCAGTATATGCTGACATAATGATGAATGGGGTCCCTATGGAAAGTGCCACAAACACTGAACTGCATCACGAATGTTGGGGAGGCAGATGTTGGCATGATTATGCACGCCAAGTAACAACTGGCATCTCACATCGTAACCTACCCAGGGCCTGTTGTGAGCCGGATAGTCTTTTGTACCAAGACAGGGATCGAAAGAACAGTACTCGCAGCGAGGAGGGTCGCAGCCGCTGTTCCTTTTTATTAATATTAAAGCAATCTAAAGCCATTTTTTTCTTAATTTCTAATATTGGTACGTCCACGACCAGTTGTATTGGTGGCGGTGGTGGTCACATGCCAGGGCAGGGTGTGTTTGATGGCCTCTGTCTGTTTTCAGTCTGCCGAGAAGTGCTGGGCAAGTCCTCAACAGTGTCGCTAAAAAAGGCCAACTTGGGAGATGGGTGATGAGAAAGTGCACGCTGTCTGCATCGCACATCTCTTGCAAGGTTCAGCCAGAGATGGCACACCTGAACCACCAGAGTGCTGTGATCCAGAAGCAAAAACCAGTCATCCAGTCAAGAGCGCTCGGGATAGGGCCAAGGATTCCACTCCAGCTCGATGCTCTTGGCGGCTTGTTCACTGGCCTTTTTTGTAGCACTGAGAGGTGATTGGGGCTCCCAGGTGAGACCCCAAACGACAGTGTTGATGTACTGTCGAGCGTGACTGACTGAAAGGGAACCATTGTTTCAGTCTTTCTACTTCAAAATTTCATGTTTAATTCAGTGTTTGTTATTTGTTAAATTTTGCAATTTCGGAGTGAAAATTTTCGCCACATTTTTTTTAGTGTTCATGATTTGTGTATTTGTAGTTGAAGTTGTGAAGTAGTGTTGCAATGTTATTAATTTCAGTATAATACATACAGTGCTGTGAAAAAGTATTTGCCTCTTTTGCATATTTGTCACGCTTAAATGATTCAGATCATCAAACAAATGGTTACACATTACTTGAAGGGGTGTGCATAAGACTGACATGACACCTTCATAATCATGACATGACACATGTCATGAATATGAAGGTTTTTTATGCATGTTTATGACAACTGTCATTAAGTGCCATTCGCTCGGTTATGTAATTTTTAATGCAAAGATGACATTGTTTGAGATGTCTTTGTTATGGGCTATGGTTAGGGGTAAGGGTAGGGGTAGGGTTAGGTCACATAATGTCATATTTGCATTAAAAATGACATAACTGAGCGAATGACACTTAATGACAGTTGTCATAAACATGCATAAAACCTCCTTCATATTCATGACATGTGTCATGTCATGATTATGAAGGTGTCATGTCAGTCTTATGCACTTCCCTTCAAGTAAAGTGTTACCCATCAAATCATAATATTACACAAAGATAACCCGAGTAAATACAAAATGCAGTTTTTAAATGATTATTTCATTTATTAAGGGAAAAAAGCTGTCCAAACCTGCCTGGTCATATGTGAAAAAGTAAGTGTCCCCTAAATCTAATAACTGGTTGTGCCACGCTTTGCAGCAACAACTGCAATCAAGTGTTTGCGGTAACTGGCAATGAGTCTTCAACATCGCTGTGGAGGAACTCTGGCCCACTCTTCTGTGCAGAATTGTTTTAATTCAGCCACATTGAAGGGTTTTTGAGCATGAATGGACTGTTTAAGCATCTCAATCGGATTTAAGTCCAGACTTTGACTTGGCCACTCCAAAACCTTAATTTAGTTTTCTTGAGGCATTCAGAGCTGGACTTGCTGGTGTGTTTGGGATCATTGTCCTGCTGCATAACCCAAGTGCGCTTGAGCTTGAGCTTGAGCTCACAAACTGACGGCCGGACATTCATGCTTCCATCAATTATGGCAAGTCATCCAGATCCTGAAGCTGCAAAGCAGCCCCAGACCATCACACTCCCACCACCATGTCTGACTGCTGGGATGATTTTCTTTTTATGAAATGCTGTGTTGGTTTTACGCCAGATGTAACGGGACACACACCTTCCAAAAAGTTCAACTTTTGTCTCATCAGTCCACAGAATATTTGCCCATGGTGCTCTTGGAGTAATTTTGGTAGGCCATTTCAGAGTTGAAATGAAGTAACTGCCAGTGGTTATTTATTCTTGGGTTTAAATCACATACATCTGTAATAACCCAGTCTTCATGCAAAGCCTCTCATTACCTGATGACTTTGATGGATCTCCTTGATCTGAAGGCCATTAGGCAAAAGCAAAAGACATGGAAATCATCTCTGATCAGATTCACAGATGGATGAGCATGACAAGCCACGTGAACTCATTTGGTTGATGTAAACCCTGTAGATGAATCACCACTGGCACACAAGCGAGACATTAAAAACCATGGGATTTAGCAGCTTTATGGAGGTTAATCGCACTAAATGAACCGGATAACCCCATCTGTTTTGCAGCTGAACTAGCGGATCTCATGCCGGATGTGGTTTGGTTAAGGCTTCACTTTCACAATAATACTTGACGTAAATTTGTTACTGTGAATTTGTGAATAAATGTTTCGGATGAAAACCTGTACTTTCAAAACTGTATTAACAGTCTTCTGTCAGCCAAGAAGTTGACTGAGAAAGCCGAAGAAGAGCAGAAGCAGGAGACGAAGTGATGATGATGATAAATAAAATGAGCTTATTGAGTGATGAGTTTATTGAATAATCTTAAATGACTTTATTGAATAATCTTAGTTGCGTATGTTTCAATGCTCAGACTTCATCTGGCCAGCACAAATCCAGCAAGTGTTATTATACCACAAACCACAGCAATGGAAAATGACTGCTTCACAACACCGTCCTTGAAATGGAGACGTTCTCTTATCTCACACATATCAAATAAACAAATATCCCTTGAAACCACACAATTATAAGACTAAACGACAATGGAAAAATAATATAACATTTCTTAATTCTATAAATGACTCATCAATAAATAAATCAATGAAATGAGTATATAAATAGTTAAAATGATTGTACACTGTAAAAAAAAAGATTGCTGCGATTAGTTATCACAACTTAAAATTCAGTGTTACAATAATAATGTGTTGTTTCAACTAGCACTGTCAAAATTAGTGCGTTAATGCATGCGATCAATTTTTTCAGTTTAACGTGTTAAAAATATTTAACTCAATTAACGCAGGGGTAGACTCACTCACAAATGCTGCTTCTGTCTCTTTTTTCTTTGATTTAGACACAGAACATCTTTACGATCACATAAAATGGGAGACTTTCAGACGCACTCTCCAACTTCACCTCAGCGCTGGCGGGAATCAAACGAGCGACGAGGAGCTTCAGCAGAACTACAGTGAACCGCGGTAGCTGAGATGCTGTCAGGCCGTGTGTCGGTAAAAAACAGTTTTCCTGTCCTGTCAGCCGGTATACTGTGATCGTAGCACATGCTCTTCAGTTGCACGCACAAATGCAGAGATGCACGCTGTTTATCATTGCATATTAAAGCACCAAAGAAACTACGATCATGTAATGTTGTAGTTATGTCGTCAGTTAAGTCAGGAAGTTACCCAAAAGCCGATTAAAGCTGCTTTAAAACTGTGCATGTAAGTATTTGTTATACGAGTCATATTTAAGAACATTAATTGTTCTGTCGTGGAGCAGCAGCACTGTCTCCATCATCTAACACCTGATTCAGCTCCTCAGCTCGTTACAGAGACTTTAAGAGCTGCAGTGGGTCAGAAAAGGTAAAGAGTTATGAGAAACTACGATGCATGTCAGATCCGCGTCACGTTCAGCAGCCAAAATAACCTGATAACCAGCTGCTGTGATGCTGCTCAAAGAACTAAAGAAAAGAGAGGAAATCAATCACTTCTGTAGCTTTAAGGATTCATCTACATTTAATTTAGAATTTAGTGTTTGATAACTTTATTCTGTTTCTGTATATTTCCTACTTGCTGAACGGCACATAACTAAATCTGACATTTATTATAATGGGTTTATATGAAAATGGCTTTAAGTTCAATTAAATTAGAAGTTGTTATATTTTAAAGTCTAATAGATGTTCAGATTGACAGCTCTCAGTTATACTGTAATGTTGAATGGCTAGTCAACGGTTAAATATTAGGAAAAAAAAAATTTCCTAGAGACATCAGTAGTATTTCTATCAGTGAGACCCGCCTTCAGTCATAAAAAACAAATATTAAAAATATACTGTCTTTATGTTGTTTCTACATTAATTTGAAGATTGAATGTGAAATTATTGCAATATAAAAGTATATTTAAAAACTTTAATGTTAGGTGCAATTTTTTTTTACTTAAAATAATAATACGTTCAGTTAACTTTGGATATTTAAGTTATCTCAAGAAATGTTAAGTTGTTATAACTAATTGCAGGATCGTTTTTTTTTTTTTTTACAGTGAATGATTAAATGATAATGTCATAATAAATGAATGAAGAATAAATGAATATAAAAGAAAGTAAAACACAATGCAAATGTATAGTTGCTCTCTAAAATGAATGTATAAATATAATTTTTACATTTCTAAATAAGTGCAAAGTTGTTTATTGCAGATTATATTTTTGCCAATCAGTAAAATATTGTTGTGCTAAATTGTACCTGATATCTTAAAGATGTCGTTATAAACCAAACTGCCAAACTGAAATAAATCATGTGCAACCCATTTATCAGTTACTAAATGCCTTTATTATTCCCTAAATATGAAGCATAAAATATGATTCTCTAAACACAGGAGCAGGTTCAGGATAAAAATAATAAAACAATGTGTTTATCAATCCTTTAGTTTAATGCATTTCTAAAAACACACATTGTAGATTTCCAATTCATTACTGTCTCAATCATTATTTCTGCATTATTATAAAATATTAATATTTCAAAAGGACCCCAAGAGAAGACTATTGCTATTTTTACACATTCAAACCAATTCTAACCAGCACTAAATATATTTCCGTGTTCAGTGAAATGAGAAAGTAACATTTGAAATGCGTTCGTCCTGTACTTTTGTCCAGGATGGTCTTATTCATATTCTTAAGTATTTGCACAGTGTGTAAAGCAACTAATTAACAGTGGCAGTGCATTAACTGTATCAAATAAATGTGATAATGTGATAAACATGTTCTCTCTTTTATTATAAATTCCTGTACCTTAAAGATTCACAGACGGTTGGACAAGTTATTGTGCGTATCAGAGTCTAGCGTTTCATTGGACCCAGCTCCTCACATGCTGTTGCCGTGTCTAGTGTGTTTTCTTGTGTTTTCTGCCGCTGGAAGATCTTCTCGTCAGGTTGGACGCTCCATGTTATGCTGTATCTGATTTTCACGTCCTGACCCGAGAGGATCTGCTTCATCTAGACACCAGATCACATCAGTGATTAGTGAACGACCATTCAGACATCAGTCAACTAACACAACTTTTTTATTATTGTAATAAAATGAACACTCTGCAGTTATTATTTTTTTTAATTAGTATTTTTGTTTTGTTTTCGGTACAAAGATCTAAACGTTCTTAGAGCAACATACATTTAAATGACACACGATAAGCAGCAAATGTATCAAAATTAAGTGATTTTTTTTTACCTTTAATTTTGTTTTGTGACTAAAATTAAAATGAAAACGGAAAATATACAAATAAGAACCGACTCAAAATGTTCCTAAATACTATAATAGTATTAGGGCTGTCACTAATGGTTATGTTGGTAATCGAGTAATCGGTTGATTATTCTGGCTATTAATCGAGTAATCTGATTTTTTTTGTGTGGTAATAAAAATAGACCAAAGTGAACAATAGACTTAAAACATTTTTTTTTATATATATATATAATATTGGCAATAATCATTGTTTCAAATAAAATATCAAAAGCAAGAAATCATATGGTTTTATTGAACAAAACAGTTAAAATACATAATGCAATAAAACAATATGATCTTAACTTATGTATATTACACCGGCCGTCCAGGACCGAGTTTGGGCACCCCTGATCTAATCCTTTAATATTTATTAAACATTTCATTCAAATGTCCACTTAATCTTTAATATTTGGCCACTTCTTTATGACAGAAATGCTGCAGCCACTGTAATTTCTTGAATGTGGATTTCAAAACATGCAAACTCAGAGCGAGGGTTTAAACTTTTATTTTAAAGTCGCAATGAACAGTTAGCGTATTAAGATATTATATTGATAATGCAATCGAGGATTTTTTATAATGGAGTACTCGAATTTAATCGAGGAATCGTGACAGCCCTTCAATAGTATATTAATAGTATCTCACCTTCTTCTCTATGGCCTCCATCACTGCAGATTCGTCCAGAGATCCGGCTGATTTCACTGCGAATCTCACACGCTGTATCTTCGTGTTTTCTCGGCAGTAGAAAGGCAGTCGAGTCGAGCAGGTGTCGTCAGCCATCTGTCCATCAGTATCAGCACTCACACAATCTTCAGTGCTGTTCACATTATCAGGCTGCCCGGTCTCCCATTGCACAGACGACGATACGCTGCTGTTATCTGACCACTGCCACTGCCACAGCCCCTGCCTCTTGGACAGGCCGATCCAGGCATTCTGGTCGTTCTCTGAGTCAAGCACGCCTGCGAGGAATGCATTTTCTGTGTCGTCTGTAACGGTGGCCAGGTCTATTTCATGTGATCTGCAGTGCGTTTGAGCATCATGCCAGTTCATGTACTTTTTGGTGTACTTAAACTTGTCCTTAAGTTCGGCCTGTTTGTCTGTAAGGAGTCGGATTTGTGGTCAGGGCAGAGAAAAATGCTTGAAAAATTGAAGTAACGAAAAAATGATAAGAGTGTGTAAGGCTTAGAAATCTTAGTCTTGGTAACGTCATTGTTTTTATTGGATGCCTGTATTGTTTATTATTCTTTTTTGTTTATTCTAGTTTAGTTCATGTACTTTTTGGTGTACTTAAACTTGTCCTTAAGTTCGGCCTGTTTGTCTGTAAGGAGTCGGATTTGTGGTCAGGGCAGAGAAAAATGCTTGAAAAATTGAAGTAACGAAAAAATGTGACAATTATAAGAGTGTGTAAGGCTTAGAAATCTTAGTCTTGGTAACATCATTGTTTTTATTGGATGCCTGTATTGTTTATTATTCTTTTTTGTTTATTCTAGTTATAGTTATTTCAGTAATAAATGTAAAAGTAAATAAATATGAAAAAAGAAAAAAAAAGTAATGACATATTTTAAGGTTTTATTTAATTATAATAGCCCTGTTCGAATGGTCTGATTAAATTAATCTCTCAAGTACAAGAGAAAAAGTATCCTTATCTTCTAATCAGCTTGTATTTTAAACTCGACATTATGCAAATATTGTTGGTTCATGTAACGCTTCAATTCAGTTTTCAGACCATACAGTGCAAATGCATAAATATCAAAACATTCTTAAACCACACACATATATATACAATATATATATATGTCTTTGGTTCCCAAATTAATGTGTCTTGATTTAAATTTTTTTTATATATTTGTACCGGAAAACAAGGTAAGAGGAAGAACATCACTTTTTGCAGTGTGTATAAGGCGTGTGAGTATGCATGTTATAAAACTCAAATCGAAGATTATAACTGAACATCCAGAACATAACTGAACAAAAGTGCTGTATAATTTCTTACCAGTTTGGCAAAAGAAGTATTTTAGTTCAGTACAGGACGTGTCACTCCATTGTTCGTATTCACTTACAGTTGCACAGGCCTCATGTGTTTTGAGCAAGTTCGGCTCCTGGTTACCCCACTTCGCGTAGCTTATAACCGTGTTTTGATGCGACCAAAGCCAAAAAACTTTATAGAAGCCGATCCAGGCGACAGATGTGAAGCTCACAGCATCTACTGCCTCCTTTAGTTTGGCTCTGTCTGCATCGCTCTGAACCGTCACCAGATCCGTGTATTTCTCCCTGCAGTACGATTGCGCTTCTGCCCAGGTCTTCGGCTCTTCAATCAGGACGAATCGATACGGGTCACATGAAGCCTTCGACAGGATTTCTGCTGCAGGAAAATCAACAGTGTTACGTTTCTCTAAACCTCTGATCTGACGTCAGTTTCTTTCACTGACACTCACCGAGCAAAACAACGAGTTGAATCTTGTTCTGCATCATCTCGTCTTCACAGGTTTGTTCACTGAAAGAAATCAATCACAAGAATACGACATGTTGCTTAGTTCTGTGCTATTGAAAGTCCAGTCGGTTTCTTTTGTAATCAGGGTTTTTAAACACTTTCAGGCATTGAAATAAAGCATTTAATGACTAAATCCATCAATTTTAGCAGCAAAAGTGTTTTTAATGGTCAGGTTTTGTTCATGTCATTCCAGTGTTTTTGTCAATCTGAAATGCATGTCTGTTTCTAAATTTTAATTCAACATCTTGCATTAATAATATAAAGAAACGGTATTTAATTAAAAATGCAACGTAGTAACGCAGAAAAATAATTCTCCCACATCTTTAGATTAAAGCTGATCACAACAAAACAAATCTACTTGCTCTGGACCGATCTTCTCACCAGCACATTAACTTTCTTCTCTCAACATATTCCCTTTACTTGTCTTTTACTATCGACCCAACTCTTTATACATTACGTTATGCAAAACACTGTCAGTAATGTACGTAAGACACTGACACTAATTACTGATTTACATTCTGATTTTGCTGAGGTATGAGGCTCTTTATTCAAATACTGAAGCACCAGAGAGCATGACAACATCACAGAAGTGGTTTTTCACAATTATAAAACAAGTATGGCACAAATGAATGTATTTATTAACCTGTTAAATAATAAATAATATTTAACATCACAGTCAATAGTTGTTTTTGCCGTCAGATAAACCATCTAAAGTGACCCTACATGAATAATGAATCATTGAACTTAGGGATGTCCCGAGTCGATCTCAAAGATGGGGATCAGGGCCAATTAGGCTTTTTTTAAATCTGATCTGTGTCGGCTATCCTGAGCCCCAGCCACTGGATCGCTCATTGCAAATTCTATGGCGTTTTACTAGCATTACAGTTTCCATAAATGTTATGTACGTTGAATTAATTATTCATGTAACCAATGTTTAAATCATTGCCTGCTTCAAAATGAATGCTGTAAACGAAATCATTTGAAACATTTGCAGGTATAGCCTACTGTATGAATAAAAACACTATTACATGAACAAAAGTACATGAACAGATCAGATTCAGAATGAGCACTTCATCCATCCTCTACTGTAATGAATATGATACGTCACTTCTTAACAAGCAGGGGAAATTCCTGACATTTAACAAATAACCGTTGTTGACCTCAGTGCTGTACAAAGAAGATGAAAGCAATGAGAAAAGATAATATCAGTAAGATGTATAGGGATTTTTCAGATATAAAAACGCCGACTCGTTAGGTGATGTTTTCTCAATAGAATGTAACAGAATATTATGCGGCGCAGTGGCTTCACTTTTATGACGTCATGAGCAATCCAGTTCTCTATTATAGATCAGTGGTTCGATCCTTATTTTACGTCATGCCGGTGTCGTGCAGTAGGTGGCAGTATGCGCCTTCCAGTAGATTTGCCAACCGACATTAAAAGGCTCAAATGTGTGTTCATTGATTGTGATGTGTGGCCAAGTATCCCTGCTGGTACATAGACTCGAACCTACGACCTTTGGGTTGCAAGTCCGACTCTCAAACCATTAGGCCACGACTGCCCACTGTCATACAGTTGCATGTTGCTGCTGAATGATGCCAGTCCACTCACATCACTGCTCTAGTCCTGCTGCTATTGACTGTGCTCCCTTCTTCTTCTTCCTCTCTTCTGTCTTGGTCAAGGTCTCAGCTGTAATCCACTCTTTTTCTGACTCCTAAGTACTTCCTGGCATACTGATCTAAGGGCCTCTTTTTTATTGGCTGTGTATTTTGTATTCTTCATGCAGTTCTCGTAGTACTTCAAACCTGTTCCTGATCTGCTCTGGTCTCGGAGTCCTTCAGAAGGCTGATGTTATATTTCACTCTTTTGTCTGACATGTATGGTCACCACCAGCTGATGCTCAGACACCACGTCTGCTCCTCTTCTAACCATTATGTTGAATAGCAAAGTCAAATTAAATAAAATTAGCCATATGATGATATCTCTCACATCAAACTCCAGCCACATATGTGTTTAGAGCTGTTTAAACGCTGCTTGATCTGTGCAGATTTCTCTCCTGATTCACACCAGAACACTGACTCACTGGAGGAAGAGTTATTATGGATTATGGACTCTTATGTATTTGAGTTAGAAATGTCTTAATGCTGGATTTGTTTCAGCTTTAGTCTTCTCCAGATGTTAACTGATGGACTGTGGGTTACTTGTGGATTATTGTGATGTTTTTATCAGCTGTTTGGACTCTCATTCTGACGGCACCCATTCACTGCAGAGCATCCATTGCTGAGACACTGATGCAGTGCTACATTTCTCCAAACCTGATGAAGAAACACACTCATCCTGATCTGGGATGGTCTGAGAGTAAGCCATCTTCAACAATTGTTCATGTTTTAAGGGATTTCATTAAGGTTGTAGAATTTAGGCATTGTCAATGAAACTGGAAAATGTTGTGCTCACATGTGGCTCAAATAACTGTTCTTGAGTAATTTCAGTCCTTTAATTGAGTACACTTTTATTTAATGCATTGAATAAAAACATAATTTATTTTTTCAAATGTTAATAATAATTACTGAATTATTTAGTACCTAGAAGAGCCCAATACTAGAGTATCATTCTTTTTTTTCTAAATGAATTATAATTATAACAGTATGAAAAGTATTAAACCATTAGCAATATCAATGCATAAACAGCTAAATAAATATGATGGTGTTTATCATAAATATCTCCAAAGGTTCATAAACATGTGTTTATTTTTATTATATATTATCCATTTCTGAGTGTCTATTGTTACACTGGATCAAACTTTTCACATGCCGTTGGTGTCTGTTGAGTGGTGTTTGTCTGGTGGAAGATGTTCCTATCAGGATGGACTCGCCATGTAATGTTGCATCCAGTGCTCGTTCCCTGATCTGAGAGGATCTGATTCATCTGGAGACAAGATTTCATTGGTGATTAGTGAACGAGATCAATCTACCAATATTCAGCTGTCAGTTATCCCAAACTAAACCTATTTAGAAACAGTTTTTTTAATTGAAATAAATGGTAACAAAAATTATATAAGTTACAGCATATATGCATATAGCATAACCATATAGCAGTGCTATATGGCTGTATATCAGCACAGCCGTAGGCACAAGTGCTGTAGGTAATCATATCTGTGCTGATATTCAGCAATATCGCACGGCTACAAGTGTGATATTGCGTTTATACAACAGTTCGACGGAACAAGTGTGTAAATGAATACAAATCAACAACGGAGTGTCTTTAGGTCATACTTACAAGGGAGGGGTCCTCAATACATGCAGATATGCTCACTGAATATACGTAAACCTAACAGACCACTCAAATACCAAGGGTTCACTCAACACAGGGGGAGTGCGCTTTTAGTTATTATGCCACCCGCAGTTGGAACCAGCTTCCTGAGGAGATCAGATGTGCTAAACACTAGCCTCATTTAAATCTAGACTCAATACACATCTGTTTACTGAATGAGCACCCTGCTACGTCCCAATGATTGAACTGTATTTTATGTATCCTCATCTTTTATTCTTTACTGTTTTAATTCAATTTAAATTGTTTTTTAAGGCGTTAAAAATACCTTGCTTTTATTTGTGTGATTATTTTATGATTATCCTTTTATGTAAAGCACTTTGAATTACAATTGTGTATGAAATGTGCTATATAAATAAACTTGCATTGCCTTCCCTATACAAACCCTCTTTTGTGCAGAACTACTTTCTCAGTTTGACAGTTTAACAGCTGAGCTCAAGATCCGTTACTAATTCAAGAACTATTTGCTCTGGAACAAATAATAGATTAATGAGAGCAAAGACTGCCCGTTTGATTTACCCCAAACTAATTATAGCTCATGTTTAACCACTACAGAGACATCAGAGCCAGCCGCAAATTCCAGAAGATCTGGCCGAGCTGAGGCTGCTCTCACGACTCACATCTCCAAAAACATCGAAGAAGATTTTCAAATAAACGTTATCTTTATTAACAAACCATATATTTGAAGTCTAAACTAGTACATTCTCGCCTAAAAAACTCTTAAAGCTACATTACGTGACACAAAAGTATTATTTTTAAATTATAGTGGATCTGGGCATCTGACATGACACTCGCTGTGAGAAATACGGCAGGAGTGATACAAACGGTGAAACGGTTGGAGTGCTGTTATCACTAGAATATCACACCGCTGGAAAAGGCTCTCAGCCAATCAGAGTCGAGGACCAAAAAATAACTGTTGTATATATACTGTATATATATATATATATATATATGTATGTAGTAAAATAAAAAAAAGAAATAAAAATAATTAAAAATCTCTTTCTATACTGTATATATAGTTCATAACAGTAAGCAAAATATATGTATACATGTTGTTATTGTCACGGGTTGCCAGGGGAAAGGGAGCTCGAAGAAGCACAAAGGAGGCAGATAGTCAAACGAACAGGGTCTTTAATTAATCTTCATGGGAACGTAGGAGAAAACAACCTATTTGCACGACGAAGACAGGACAAAGAAACTGAGGAAAGGCAGGCCTATAAATACTAAAATCAAATGATGGACTAATAGAATGATTAACAAATACAGGTGGAAACTAATTAACTAATCAAGCAACACAGGAAAACCAGGTCAAGGCAGGGAGAACAGAAACACAGAACAAACGGGACATGTCGCCTCCCTCCCAGAAGGCGCGGCCCGCGCCATAACAGTTCCAACGGGGGCGGATCAGGGAGTTCGGGGCGCCATGGCGGAGCATGCAGACTAGGAAGCCATGGTGGAGCAGGGGACACAGGAGGCCATGGTGAATCCTCCGTGACCTTAGCCGGGTCGGCCACCACGGCCACGGGCATATGCCCCCCCCCAAAAAAAATTTTCTTGGGGAAAATTAGGAATTCTGGCGGGCGCTCTGTAGGTGCAAGGCTGGTTAACTCGGGGGAATCAGGAGACGAAGGAGGGCTGGACGGGACCAGCGGAGACAAAGGAGAAATTTCTGGAGCGCATTCTGGGGTGAGGATAGGAGCTGAGATCTCTGGAGGCAGCGCCATATCCAGGAGTGCTGAGAGGCACGCTAGAGTGGACTAATAGGATGATTAACAAACACAGGTGGATACTAATGAACTAATCAAGCAACACAGGAAAACTAGGTCAAGGCAGGGAGAACAGAAACACAGAACATAAACGTGACAGTTATGGCTGCAACCACTATAGTATTTATGGTAGTGTAGTTGTCAGCCTCTCGTGCTTTATAAATGGCATAGCATTATCTCTGGAGAAATGGCGCATGCACGCTGAATAGATAACGCAAGATGGGTGGCTGCGATTTCTTTCTATGAGATAAATAATAATACGCACAGTTTTTATTTTTTATATTTGATGTAATACTTTTTAAATGTGT